AGTGTCAATAGAGAGATAACATTTGTATTATATGTTGTGCACAAAGTGTAAAGTAAAGAATGATACAGTAAAGAAAAGAATGTAAAGTACCTGATTCCATAATATGAGAAAGGTGGTCTTGTATCCTTACATTGGTATATGATTTCATTTGAGTTCTTATTTCACATACAATACTTTATGCCTTACATACTCAGTACATTCTCCTGTACTGACGTCTCTCTCGGGGGACCTGCAATTCATGATGCAGGTACATGAACTAGTAGATCTCCCCAGTAGGAGAACAGGACATCCAACGGCTATTGGTGAGCTCTAAGTTGATTTGGGGCTTTTTGAGTCTATAACATGTATTTTGGTATTATATAGTAGCTGAGTGTAAGGCGGGGCCTGTCTCGACCTTAATCCCATAATGTTTTATCATTTAGAGGCTTTGTAGACTATGTATAGTGAAGTGTGGTTGTGCCTCGTGTCTTAGACATCATAGTCCCAACGGCCAAGTCATGTGCACTTTCTTTTGGCTTGTTAATGTTGTCTACTTTCATGAAAACATGTTATCCACTATGGCAACACCTTTAAATGTTCATAGATAGAGCATGATAACAGGTTGGTTCTCCCGAGCCTTCTCGGCAACGGGTACCGATTCTCCTTAATGGGATTTTGGGCATGACAAAAGTGGTTCAGAGCAGGTCATCCTAGGGATTCTACAAAGCCGTGTCTGTGTAGAGTCTTGCTTATGGATGTGTTGTGCACCACATTTATAAACAGGAAGCTATGAGACATGTAGGAATTGTTTCTTTTCTTTCATTTCTTAGATCGTGCGATAGAACCAATGTTGTAGAGAATCGTATCTAACTTCTGAATTGCTTTATTATAGCAAAGATGCCGGTAACGAGGAGTAAAAGTACAGGTAAGCGAGTAGATGTGGCTACCCAAGAAGGGACCAACCAACCACCACCTAATCAAGTTGTTCAAAGTGAGGCTCAAGATGAGTCTCTATCACAGACTTCCCCGACCCCTCCATCTCTAGAAGATCTAAGGAGGGAAGCTGAACCTCAAGAACCCACTATTAATGCTACCGAGCAAGATTTGAGGAATGCGGTTCAATTATTGACTCGTATAGTTGCTGGCCAAGGTCAAAGGCAAGAAGGTCCAGTTGCGGGTATTGGTGGTGCAAATAGGGCAGCTAGCACGTGGATACGTGATTTCCTTAATTTGGACCCTTCATCATTCACCGGGTCAGATCCTAATGAAGATCCGCAAGACTTTATTGATCAAATCCAACGAACTTTGGATGTTATGCACGTGAGTGGTAAAGAAGTTGTTGAGCTAGCAACATATAGATTAAAGGGTGTGGCTATATTATGGTATGAAACTTGGAAGCAATCTAAGAGTACAGATGCACCTCCAACTACTTGGAAAGAATTTAAAAAGGCGTTTCTTGATCATTATTTGCCATTGGAGATTCGAGAGTCCCGCGCAGATCAGTTCTTAAATCTTCACCAAGGGGGTATGAGTGTGAGAGGGTACAGTCTCCAATTTAATTCCTTGTATATGTGGATAGATTGGATTCGTATATGGTTAGAGATTGTACTATTGCTTCTTTAAATAAAGACATGGATATAGCAAGGATGCAAGCTTTTGCACAGAAATTGGAGGATCAAAAGCAGAGAAGAAGGGCACAAGAGACAGAAAGGGGTCAATCCAAAAGGGATAGGTCTACAGGGCAGTTTACACCACCCCAAGGTGAGTTTAAGCCTCGGTTTTCTAATAGACCAGCTAGGCCGTCATTTCCCTACTCTACAGATAGTGCTCCACCCCAATTTCAATGGCCAAGAGGCAATTCGTTTAGGCAAAAGAGTGAGAGCCAAGGTTCACGGACATTGGGATATCCAGATCAGGGTAGTACAAGCCAATCAATGCCTCCTAGACAGCCTTGTAAACAATGTGGGAGGAGTCATTTAGGTATATGTCGTATTGGAACAGATGCCTGTTATTGGTGTGGTATGCCAGGGCACCTAATGAGAGATTGCCCTAAAAGGCGCATGGGTGATATAGCACAACCTACTGGATCAGTTGTTGCATCGTCATCATCGGTGCCTCCTTTAGGTAAAGGTCACAGGTTCCTACAGGTCGTGGTAGAGGTGTTAGAGGAGCAGCTAGTTCTAGTGGAGTCCAAAATCGCACATATGCTCTAGGGAGTCGACAGAACTTGGAGGCTTCACCTGACGTAGTAACAGGTACATTGTTCATCTTTTCACATAATGTATATGCGTTAATTGATCCTGGTTCCATACTATCGTATATCACTCCACTAGTTACTGGGAAGCTTAAAAGAACACCAAAATTATTGAATAAACCATTTGAAGTGTCTACACCAACCGATGAGTCTATTATAGCAAGAAGGGTCTATTGTAACTGCATAGTAACTATTTGTGATCATGATACATTGGCTGACCTAATTGAACTAGAAATGGTTGAATTTGATGTTATAATAGGTATGGATTGTTTGGCTTCTTGTTATGCCACGATGGATTGCCGAACTAAGAGAGTGCACTTTCACTTTCCAAACGAGGCAGCCCTTGAATGGGAAGGCAAGGTTGCAGTGCCAAGGGGTAAGTTTATTTCTTATTTGAAGGTGAGGAAGATGATGTCAAAAGGGTATATGTTCATCTAGTTAGAGTGAGAGATGTGGAGGCAGAACCACAGACTCTTCAATCTTTTCCGGTAGTAAATGAATTTATTGATGTGTTTCCTGAAGAGCTTCCAGGTTTACCCCCAGAACGAGAAGTAGAGTTTGGTATCGATTTAATTCCAGGCACTCAACCTATCTCTATTACTTCGTATAGAATGGCCCCAGCAGAATTACGTGAATTAAAGGAACAATTAAAGGACTTGTTAGAAAAGGGGTTTATAAGGCCTAGTGTGTCCCCATAGGGTGCACCAGTGTTATTTGTACGTAAGAAGGATGGCACGTTGAGAATGTGTATCGACTACCGATAATTGAATAGAGTGACAATTAAGAATAAATACCTCCTCCCCAGAATTGATGATTTGTTTGATCAGTTACAAGGTGCCAAGTGCTTTTCAAAAATTGACTTGAGAACAGGTTATCACCAAGTGAGGGTGAAGGAGAAGGATATACCCAAGACAGCTTTTCGAACACGATATGGTCATTTCAAAGTTCTTGTTATGTCATTTGGGCTAACAAATGCACCGGCAATTTTTATGGATTTGATGAATAGTGTGTTCAAGCCATTCTTGGATGTATTTGTGATAGTATTTATAGATGATATCTTGGTGTATTCAAGATCAGAAGAGGACTATGCAAATCACTTATGACAGGTATTACAAGTTCTTCATGATCGGCGGTTGTATACCAAGTTCTCCAAATGTGAATTTTGGTAAAAATCAATGGTGTTCTTGGGTCATATTGTATCTCATGAAGGAATAAGGGTTGATTCACAAAAGATAGAGGCCGTGAAAGATTGGCCAAGACCAATAACACCCACAGAGGTTTCTAGCTTCCTAGGGTTAGCAGGTTATTATAGAAGGTTCGTTGAAGGATTTTCTTCTATTTCTGCACCTTTAACTAAGCTAACACACAAGGAAGGTAAGTTTCAGTGGAATGATGCATGTGAAAGAAGCTTACTAGAGTTGAAAAGTAGGCTAACTTTTGTACCTGTATTAGTACTTCCGAAAGGCACAGAGGGGTATACAGTATATTGTGATGCTTCAGGGGTTGGTTTAGGATGTGTACTCACACAGCATGGTAAAGTAAAAGCTTATGCCTCAAGACAACTGCAACCACACGAGAGAAACTACCCAACACATGATCTTGAACTAGCAACGATTGTATTTGCTTTAAAGATATGACACCACTATTTATATGGGGTTCACGTTGACATATATACATACCATAAAAGTTTGCAATACATCTTCAAGCAGAAGGATCTGAATTTGAGGCAGCGAAGATGGTTAGAGTTAATAAAAGATTATGACGTTGATATATTATACCATCTAGGGAAAGCAAACGTAGTAGCTGATGTTCTCAGTCGCAAGACAATATCAAGTATTAATGAGCAGACCATGGAAAAAGAAGGGATGGCGAAAGATCTACGTCAACTAGCTAATTTGGGAGTTCGTCTTTTTGAAACCCCAAAAGAAGGAATTGTAGTGCATAATGCGGCAGAATCTTCATTAGTAGTTGAGGTGAAATAGAAGCAGTTCAAAGATCTTACTCTACAACGACTCAAGGAGAAGGTAAATCAAGGTATGACAAAGGGATTTGAGCTTACACAAGATGAAGTACTTTGTTGTCAAAACAGATTATGTGTACCTAATGTTAATGGTCTAAGAAGGAGGATAATGACAGAAGCACATCATTCAAGATATTCCATCCATCCAGGATCAACTAAAATGTACCATGACATGAAAGAAGTGTATTGGTGGGGGGACATAAAGAAGGACATTGCAGAATTTATGGCTCAATGTCCAAACTGCCAGCGAGTCAAAGTAGAGCACCAAAAACCGGGAGGTTATATGCAGTGTATGGAGCTTCCAACTTGGAAGTGGGACATGATCAACATGGATTTTGTCACTGGTTTGCCTCGCTCGTTTCGTAAGTTTGACTCCATATGGGTAATAGTTGATGACTCACAAGTCAACACATTTCTTGCCAATTAAGACTGATTATACAGCTGAAGAATATGCAAGGTTATATATTAAAGAGATAGTTCGGCTACACAGGGTTTCAATCTCTATTATATCTGATCGAGGAGCTCAATTCACTGCAAAGTTTTGGAAATCATTCCAAAAGAGTTTGGGAACAGAAGTGAATTTTTAGTACAGCCTTCCACCCTCAAATGGATGGTCAAGCAGAACGCATAATCCAAATACTTGAGGATATGCTTCGAGCTTGTGTTTTAGACTTCAAAGGTAGCTGGGATGATCATTTGCCACTTATTGAGTTTGCCTACAATAATAGTTATCATTCTATTATCGAAATGGCACCTTGTGAAGATTTATATGGAAGGAAGTTCAGATCACCAATTGGCTGGTTTGAAGTAGGCGAAACTGCTTTATTTGGACTAGACCTTGTTCTTCAAGCTATGGAAAAAGTTAAGGTGATACAACAATGGCTAGCAATAGCTCAAAGCCGACACAAATCATATGCAGATGTTAGAAGAAAAGGATTAGAGTTTTCTATAGGAGATTAGGTGTTCTTGAAAGTATCGCCAATGAAAGGGGTAATGTGATTTGGTAAAAAAGGAAAGTTGAGTCCACGCTACATAGGGCCATATAAGATTATTCAAAGAATTGGCCAAGTTGCATATGAGTTAGAGCTACCTCAGGAGCTTTCAGCAGTTCATTCGGTGTTTCATGTCTCAATGCTTCGGAAGTGCGTAGGTGACCCATCCTATATCACTCCTATTGAAGATGTACAAGTTACAGGGGATCTCACCTATGAAGAAGTACCTATTGCTATTCTGGATCGTCAGGTTAAAAAGCTAAGGAATAAAGAAATGGCTTCAGTAAAGGTGCTTTGGAGAAACCAACAAGTAGAAGAAGTAACGTGGAAGCTGAGGAAGCGATGAAATCCAAGTACCCTTATTTATTTGAACCTAAAGGGGAAGTCCAAGGTGCAGAATGGGAGCATTAATAGGTACGCATGAAAAGGTATTTATTATGTGGTTAACAATTGATTTAAACTAAGGTTTGAACTTATTTAAGCTATTTGATTATGCTAGCATTCGAGGATGAATGTTCCTAAGGGGGGGGGGGGGGAGGATGTAACACCCCGTATTTTACGTGTACAAGTTCTACACATATGGAACTTGATTTAACTTGGTGGTATAAGTAATGAACTTGATTTCCTAGATGAATGGTGACAATAAAGAAGCTATAAGGGTAACTCCCATACATTGCAATATTGCACGATCAAGTGAACGTTAAATTTTAGAAGTATTTAAATTATGGATCGAAGGGCTATATGTAAGTCTAAAAGTTAAGGTGATCAAGTGTATATAAGTTTTGAGTTAAACTAAGGAGATTACACTTGAAAAACGAATAAAAGAATTGAGGCGCTTGTTGGACTTTATAAAGCTAGCAGGTGTCACCTACTTGCTTAGCTCAAATGGGCTAGGTAGATGGGGAAGATTAGTTCATGCATTAGTGGGCTTACTTGAGGCCCAAATTAAATAAAAAGGAAAAGGGAATGGCGATGAGGCCTCACACCAATCTGTCCAAGTCCAACTACTTGAGCCCAATAAAGATTAAGGCCCAAATTAAGGGTATAATTCTGGCCCATGGCTTAATATTAGAAAGGGGAAAGATTGCAGCCCAAGATGAGTACATAAAGGGCCCATTTTGTGTATAGATAATTCCAAGCAGATGCATCACCTACTTGGACCACTTTGACAAATTAGTGGCTGATATTAAAACTTAAGAGGTAGAGAAAAATAAGACCTTTATAATCCCCAAGTTGCTGGCAATTTCCTCACTTTTAAGAATAGATAAAAAATTAGATTTCTCTCTAAATTTCTCCTCTCTCTTTCAAAGCATATCAGCAACCACAAGTTTCCTAGGGTTCTTGGATAAACCCAAGCCCTTGCAAGGGAAGCTCAAGTTATTGAAGAGTTAAAGTTAAAAGAAAACAAGTTATAAGAATTAAGGTAAAGTGACTGCCCTATCTTTGTCTTCCTTAAACATGAGTCTAAGTATGATATTTTAAGTATACTGTTGATAAGAACTCGTGGGATGATGATGGGAAACTATGGTTTCACATCCTCTATTGTATGTTGGATTGTTAGGACTGTTTTGGGATAGGTTGATGTGTAAACATATTGGGGACAACTTGGTTGATGTCTGGAAAGGGTGTAAATTGTTGATATTGAAATATAGTTGCGTAGTGTACAAATGCAAGAAAAGAAGGTAGGGATTGAAAGAACACCCTTAGTTTGGTAATTACGGGTTTGCTGCCCGAGCATTATTGTTGAGTGAGATTGGACTGCCTAAGCATGTTTAGTAACTACTAATACTAGTTTATCACCTATTTAATTGTAGATAAGTATTTGAAAAGAAAGGAAGGTACTTCAAAGTAACTACAAGGTGGTACAACAAGGTATGTAAGGCTTTTCGATTTCCTACTAATTGACATGAAATCTAGACTCGTCCTCGACACATAAAGGCAGCCTACCATATCCAACACGGCTTATGACCTTGTTCTCACTCTTTAACATGTCTGCACGTTCCAATACATGTTCATTGTCAAATCTGTACATATACATTGAATACCCTGCATTAGTTCTCCTTTTAACTAAATAAAGTCTATATATTATTTCAGCTCCTATGCATTTCATTAATTGTGTAACTACTCTCTACGTTGTTGTTCCTGCATTATATGATTATTACACGTCACTTGTTGACTACATAGTCCCACAACTCAAAATGATATGACCATCAAAAGAATACTCTCAAATGTTAATGGAAAGATATTAAATGAATCTTCTTATTAATGGGTGGTATCCCAGGGGTGGAAGAATTACCTAGCATAGGTAGATCCCAATATTAGGGGTGGTATCCCAGGGGTTAAAGGAAAGCCTAGCATGGGTCGATCCCGATTTATATGTCTACCACTGATCAGCTGGTCATTTGTATTATATGTTATGCACAGAGTGTAAAGTAAAGAATGATATTGTAAAGAAAAGAATGTAAAGTACCTCATTCCATAATATGAGAAAAAATGGTCTTGTATCCTTACATTGGTATATGATTTCATTTGAGTTCTTATTTCACATACAGTACTTTATGCCTTACATACTCAGTACATTCTCCCGTATTGACGTCTCTCTCGGGGGACCTGCAATTCATGTTGCAGGTACAGGAACTAGTAGATCTCCCTAGTAGGAGAACATGACATCCAACGGTTATTGATGAGCTCCAGGTTGATTCGGGGTTTTCCGAGTCTATAACATGTATTTTGGTATTGTATAGTAGCTGAGTGTAAGACGGGGACTGTCCCGACCTTAACCCCATAATGTTTTATCATTTAGAGGCTTTGTAGACTATGTATAGTGAAGTGTAGTTGTGCCTTGTGTCTTAGACATCGTAGTCCCAACAGCCAAGTCATGTGCACTTTCTTTTGGCTTGTTAATACTGTCTACTTTCATGAAAACATGTTATCCACTATGGAAACACCTTTAAATGTTCATAGATAGAGCATGATTACAAGTTGGTTCTCCCGAGTCTTCTCGGCAACGGGTGCCGGTTCGCCTTAATGGGATTTTGGGCGTGACAGTTTTGATCTAGAATTTATGGTGGAAAAAGCCCTAAATTGGGTATTAGGATCAAAGGATTGATCTAGGATTATTGGGTTTGTTATAATCTGGATAATTAGACCTTTGATTGTTGATCCTACCATATATTAATTATTTGTAGACCTAGAACAAGTGGAAAAAATCCAGAAAGGGGAGATTCAAGGGCCTTAGGGGTTTCAAGCTTGTTTGGAGGTAGGTGATGGTTGTGATTTTATGTGGGTGTGATATATGTTTGTAATTGCTTCATTATAATGCATGTATGTATGCAAATGTTGCATTATTGATCACCCTAAGCATAAATGAGGATAATTGAATAATTGTATGCCAAGAATCACCTCTTGTTGTATGATCTTGATGATGTACTTGTGTTTGTGATTGTGGTGTGTGATTGGGGATCGAATTGCCACGTTTCGACACACTAACTTGGATCGGGTTGCCACGTTTCGGCACAACTATTGGATCGGGTTGCCACGTTTCGGCAAGCTAACAGTTTGAGTTTGGGTTCCATGAGAGGACCATTGAATTGGTTCCCTGAGAGGACCATTGAATTGTGTTGTGTATATACTTGTGATTATTACGTTCATATCTAATGGTGATTGTGGTTGAAAGACTATTGTTGCTCTAAAATGATTTAATTGTATATTGTTGATATAAAATGTGAAACTATTCGTTGATGTGAATGATAATGATATTGTATATGTTTGGTATATGCCTGTTTTATAATGTTGTGGTTACTTACACGTGTTTCACTTATTGGGATAGCCGCGTGATCCTACTAGTACACTGTGGTTGTGTACTGATACTGCACTTGCTCTTATTTTTGTTGAGTACAGGGCATCTTCCGGTGGCTATTGATAGACCTCGTTTAGAAGATCAGTGACCGTTTCGAATTCAAGGGTGAGCTAGTTCTTCCGGGCTGCCTTGAGTTCTCTTTTGTTTAAGTCCACTCTTTTCGGACTCAGACTATTTGTTAAGGTGTTGTTTAGTATTGGGGTTGTACCCCTTGTTCTTAGACTTGTCGTTAATAGCGTTTTGGTACAATGACTTGCAGGTTCTAGGTATTTAATTCCGCATTTGTTTAGTTAATTAACTTGTTTCTGTAACTTAATTGTCTTAGTTTTGGTTTAGTTGTTTAGTTTGGGTTGTAATAGTGGTGCTCTCACCAGAGTGTTAGTGTGGGTGCCAATCACGACGGTTTGGGTCGTGACAAAAAAAAAGAATTAGCTATGCCGGAAGAAAAAAAAATGGCATACACAAATTTCTGATTCTTCTAGTTTTGCTTAGCTTATATACAAAAATATTAAAGAGTATATTTCATATTTCAAAGGGATAAGGGTCTAAAAAATACCCCAACTTTGATCGGATTTGTTGTTGCGATACTAAACTTTCATGAGGACCTATTACTTCCCTACACTATTTAACACCGTATTTTAAACATATATATTTGCCCACGTGGACATAAAAAATAATGCAAAATTATAAATAGTAATGTGTCCACGTGGGCACATATATACCTTTAAAATACACTATTAAATAGTTCAGGGGGTAAAAAATACGGTATTAAATAGTTTAGGGAGGTAATAGGTCCTTATGAAAGTTTAGTATCGCAACAACAAATCTGACCAAAGTTGGGGTATTTTTCAGACCCTTATCCCTATTTCAAATGAATACTACATTCCATATACAAATTCCTAAGAATGAGAGTCATTGTAATTAAGAGGATTAAGAATGTGACTTTAATATTTTGACATTTGTACATTATGACACAAAATAATGAATATTAATCATAGAAAATGATAAGACAATCCAAAATAAAGTTTTATAATAAGTTCAATAATAAGTAGGAAGAAAGAGAAAAAATAAATTACCAAAGTAAAGAGAAAAAATACCACACTATTCTAGTCCAACAATTATTAAATAGATAGATAGATAGACTTTTACGAATAACCAATTTTTTTTCCAGAAAAATCAACACATTATTTTAGAAGAAGAAGAAGTTAACATTTACCCTGTATAAAAAGGAATTATATATGTAACACTCCAAACTTTGTCAAACAATATTGCTCTTGGAGAATACATACATTATATTTGAAAAATAACTAATTCAAATTGTTAAAAATAAGCAGCAATTAGTTTATCTGTATATATTCTAAATCATTCAAACTTCAATTCTATCAAACTAATTTGATCATCTCTCTTGATGAAACTTCCACAGCCACAAAATTTCTTCTTCATTTTGTCAAACTTGTACAAAACTAATCTGACATTGTCATAAAAAG